ATGGTGGCTAGAAGGAGAAGTATGATTGAATCCCGGCCGCGAGAGGATGCGCTCGCCAGCCGCTTTCTCGTGTGCTCACGCAAGTCGCAACGTCTGTGCTTTGCCTATTTGGACTTGTTCAGGATCAATACGTTCCAATGTGACCATGCCACAGTGATCGGTGAGCAGCAAACACACTGCTTTGCACCTGGATGCTATGCGGGATATCTTTCGGCTCGCAATCAAGGGAAGAAAGCGTCTCTCTTCTCTGCTCCCGCCGACGATGAACGGCGCAAGGCTTGAGAGCGTGCGATTCCTCGCGCTGACACACCACTGGAAAAGAACTGCGTTGTGTGTGAAGCTCATTTCGACGAAAGATTCATCGTTCGTAGCTACAGAGAACCAACGGGTTCTTAGTAACTTGGGAAAAGGCTGTACCTAAGGAGGGTGCGTTTCTGGGTGAATCAACTGCTGAAGGAGTCTGCGTCTCTCTAACCAGCACCCTTTCCATCCTGCACTATGTCACAAAAACCTTGGGCTATAAATACTTGATGACATCTCGCCTCCGTCAAGACGCGCTTAAAATCTTTTTGGAATTCTGAAGCAAATGTCTGGCTCGCATGATCACCCTTCACCGACACAATTTTCTATGTGCATTGCCTCAGTTTACATCCTTCCGTCATACATCCTTCCTCGAATCCCTGGTCATCCCCAGAATTGTTCTTGTTCAAAAGAAAGATGGGAAAGTTCGTTTCTGTATCAATTACCGTGCGCTAAACAAAATAACACGCGAGAATGTTGATCCTCTCTCTCGAATCGACGACGCACTGAATTCATTACAGGGCGCTGAGTATTTTTCTAGCCTCGACGTTAGTTCAGGCTACTGGCAGACTCCAGTATCGGAGTCTGATAGAGAAGACCGCCTTTTCAACGCCAGATAAATTGTACGAAGTTTGCTGACCAGCAGGTCACGGGATCGAATCCCGGCTGCAGCGGCTGCATTTCCAATGGAGTCGGAAATGTTGTAGGCCCGTGTGCTCAGATTTGGCTGCACGTTAAAGAACCCCAGGTGGTCGAAATTTCCGGAGCCCTCCACTACGGCGTCTCTCGTAATCATATGGTGGTTTTGGGACGTTAAACCTTACAAATCCAATCTAATTGTACGAAGTTCTTGTGATGACTTCTCGACACTGGAATGCGCCCGCCACCTTCGAACACTCAATAGATGGCGTACTGCGCGATTATAAATGGAAGACGTGTCTGTGTTATCTCGATGACATAGTAGTGTTTTAATCCACGTTCTCGCAGCGTCTACAACATCTTGACGAAGTCCTCAGATGCTTTGCAAAAGCCGGTCTACAGCTTAATACCAAGAAATGGACCTTTGCTAGCAAGACAATCAAGGTTTTCGGCCATCTAGTCAGCAAAGAAGGAATTCGGCCAGACTCCGAGAAGCTTTCCGCCGCCCTCGACTTTTGTCGTCCACAACGTCAAAAAGACCTGCGCAGTTTTCTTGGGTTAGCTTCTTACTTCCGGCGCTTCATACGCGGCTTCGCGGAACTTGTCTTCGCTCCATCAACTTCTCGCAAGTAACGTCACCTTCGTTTGGTCCGAAGACTGCGAAAGCGCTTTTGCGGCATTGAAACAAGCCCTCGCGTCGGATCTGGTACTGTGCTACATCGATCCAAGCACACCCACCATCCTTCACACCGACGCTAGTAGTCATGGTCTAAGTGTGGTACTCTTGCAGCGTGACAAAAACTCACGCGAACGCGTGATTGCTTACGAAAGTCGTGTTCTTACCGCTGCTGAAAAGAACTATACTATCACCGAGCAGGAGTGCCTTGCTGTTGTTTGGGCTGTGTAAAGATTTCGACCATATCTTCGCGGCCGTCATTTTGCTGTCGTTACCGACCATAACGCCCTATGCTGGCTTTCATCGCTGAAAAACTTATCGGGTCGCCTCGGCCACTGGGCGCTTCGTTTGCAGGAGTATGATTTCGATGTCACCTACAGATCTGGTAAGAAGCATCAAGATGCTGATGCTCTATCGCGCTGTCCTTTGCCCAGCAGAGGCCACTCACCATCGATACTCCAAAACGACCGCACCTCTCCAATCGCAGCGCTAGGTTCATCACCTGGCACCCTATCCGTCCTTGTTTCACAACAACGTGTCGACCCATACTGCCGCACCATTGTTGACCGCTTGACCGGCTCTACTACTCCTCCAAACGCCAGACTCCGTCGACAACTTAAACAATTTAAGCTTGTCGGTGGTGCTTTATGCCGCTACATTTACCACATCGATGGCAACAAGTGGGTACCCGTCATCCCACGTTCTCTGCAACGTGAAGATCTGGAAGCATTTCATGATGATCCGAACGCCGCTCATCTAGGCTATCACAAGAATTACGACAAAATACGAAGTCGTTGTTTTTGGCCCGGCCTCTCATCAGCCGTCGCTAAGTACGTCGCCTTCTGTGTCCATTGCTAACGGCGAAAACGACCGACAACTGCTCCGGCTGGCTTAATGCAACCTCTTCCTTGTCCCGCCTCGACTTTTGAAGTCATTGGAATCGACTTGATTGGCCCTCTTCCTATGTCATCCAATGGGAATCGCTGGATTGTCACGGCCGTCGACCACTTTACCAGCTACGCAGAAACAGCTTCTAAACCATGTGGGACTGCCACTGAGGTCGCTGATTTCTTTCTTCGCCACATCTTTTTGCGCCATGGAGCTCTACGCATTCTCCTGAGCGATCGTGGCAAAGTCTTTCTCTCTTCTATTGTCGAGCAAGTTTTGCGTGCCTCGAACACTGTTCACAAGACCACTTCTAGCTACCACCCGCAGACCAACGTATTGACTGAACGCTTTCATCGGACCCTATCGGACATGATCGCCATGTACATTCACCCCAATTACACGAACTGGGATGCAATTCTACCCTCCTTGACATGTGACATTCGCCCATAAGACGGCTGCTCAACGCACTACCGGCTTTTCTCTATTTTTTCTCGTCCACGGTCGCTCACCGAGTTTCGCTCTGGATGTCTCTTTCCTTTCAGCCCCTGCACCCTCGACGGCTTCTTTCTCTGAATAATTTTTATCTCGTCTCGCACACTGCCGTCACCTGGCCCACGTTAACACCGGCCTCTCTCAAGACACTCGAAAATCTCGCTACGACTCGTCTCGCCGTGTTATGAGTTTTTCCCCCGGTGACAAAGTTCTTCTATGGACTCCACTGCGCGTCCCCGGCTTATGCGACAAATTCACATCAATCGCTTCATTGGGCCGTACACGGTGATCGAACAGACATCTCCTGTCAATTACTACGTTTCTCCTCTTAGCACTAATTCTGATCATCGTTGCCGAGGGGTGTGGCAGCTTGGGCTGGTTGGTATGGCATGATGATAGTTATAGCACGAGAACAAAACGACGACACAGAGACACGAAGGACACGGAGAACACGAGTGCTAACTTCCAGCGCTAACTGGAAGTTAGCGCTCGTGTCCAGCCGGACACGGTGGAAGCCAGCCAAACACGGAGGACACGAGCGCTAACTTCCAGTTAGCGCTCGTGTCCTCCGTGTCTTTCTTGTCTCCGTGTCGTCGTTTTGTTCTCGCGCGATAACTATCGTTGCCGAGGGACCGAGATAGTACACGCATTTCGCTTAGAGCCTTATGCGCGACGCATTTCATAATACTGTCAAGCGACCAGGCAGCCGCTTTCACCGCGCGGGGGGAATTAATGTGAGCGCGACAAGCGAACGAGTCTTCATTCTCTTTAGATATCATCATCACCTGTACATCTTCATCATCTCTAAATATCATCACCAGTGTGATTTAGCTCGAGCCTGGCTGAATAAAACGGTTCCTCACAATATACGTGTGGTAAATATTCAAAAGTGTGTTTTTATTGCGAAATATTGCGATAGCAAATACATTGACATGGTGGATTTACGCTGCTTCCGTCACCATCACCGTCATGTCCAGGAAAAGTGTGTGTGTGTGTGTGTGTGTGTGTGTGTGTGTGTGTGTGTGTGTGTGTGTGTGTGTGTGTGTGTGTGTGTGTGTGTGTGTGTGTGTGTGTGTGTGTGTGTGTGTGTGTGTGTGTGTGTGTGCGTGTGTGTGCGTGTGTGTGTGCGTGTGTGTGTGTCTGTGTGTGTGTGAGAGAAAGAGAGAGAAAAGGCACCAAGAAAACAAAACGGGATTAGATCAAGTGACCCCTCACTCCACAACGCGCTACATTAGACAACTCAAACACGCGCCGTGCGTGCACTGCCGAAATAATATCGAGCTATTTGATACACCATTTAGCACTGGTGGTACGCAGATCTCGTAGGAGCTTGTTCATATTACTAACGGGTACCACTCCTACTTTTACTTGCAATTGGAAAACTGCGCTTTAGATGCGCACAAAAAAGTGGCTCCTTTCTGTTTGCATTCGCGATGTGAAACAAAAAAAAATAATGAAACACTACGCACACTTTGCGTCAGACGCCATCACATAGCAAGAGAAGCAGAGGGGTCAATTCATGCACCACAGTTTAAAAGAAAAAGAAATATCTAAGCGTGGTTCTAAATTGCCGGCATTTGGAGCACGTTGCTCAAACACAAAGGCGTAAATTGTGACAGTTATCGAGTCGCGCTTGTCCTGTGTATACTGTGCGTGTTTTTCTTAGCGTCCTTCCTTGTGCTTCAGCGGCGCGCTGCAGGTATCGAGCTGCTTGCCGTTCTTTGTGTGACGTTTCAATTACTATCGCATTCATTGATTCGCCCTTGCGGTGAAACTGTGACTTTTTGCCTATGAATACTCTTCTTTAACATTTACCTTGCGACGCTGAGTAGCGAGCCATAGCAGAAGTCGAGGAGCGGAGCGAATCGTCAAACGGTGTGCCATAAAAGGGCTCTGAGTTACGTTTATGCTACAGCTGTTTCGATGATGACTAGTGCAAATCAGAAAGCCAACTTGGAACTACGTTCAGTATGTTCTTAACAGATGGGTTGCTTTTACTTTACAGAGACTTTGTACTGCGTCGACCGAGTGAGACGCCATTACGAGCTGGGGCAACTGGAATGCAACTGCCCGCAAGCTTGTGTGTGAGTTTCATTTTGATAACCATTCATAAAAAAACGTGTGTGCACGTCGTCCTAGCTTCAATAAATGGCACAGATACCTGACAAAATCAATGGCCACTCCGCACTTGTGATGTCAAGCTTAAAGGCCGAGTACAGCTCGGTAGCATTCCTTGTTTTTTGTGTATTTCATTTTTTCTCCTTCTCTCTATTCTGCTGTCTCTCAATTTGTTTTTTTTTTGTTCTATTTCATGCTCACTCCTTCTATTTTTATTTATTTTTCATTGTCTTTCTTCATCTTTATTTTTTATTATTTTCTATTTTTTACTTGCATCTGTGACTTTATATTTCTTTTTCCCAATTTATGTGTCTTTCTATCTTTTTTTTTTTGGTGTCTCTATCTCTTTATGTGTTCATTCCTTTCGTTTAGCTCTATTTTTTCCTTGTCATTTTCTCTCTTTTTTTCTGTCTTTCTCTCTCTTTATTTGCTCCGTTTATCACTTTTTCCCTCTATCTCTTTCACTGAGCAGAGTTTTTGTTTTAACGCTCGCACCTGCTGCAATTGGTCGTGAGGCTTGCCCAATTCCTGTGGCGCATACTCACCTGCGATGTTGTGCACGACGCCGCATATGTTACCGATAGCTTAAACAGCTTCACCGACAAAAAGAAGATAGGCGGACAGACACGAACATAAGAGAAGAGAGAACATGGTGTGCGAATCCACATTTTACAGCCATGCACCATAAAAAAAAAACACGAGAAAGGTGTACAAAGACACTCAACGTCTGGCTAACGCAGCTGTCACTTTAACTTCGTACAGGAGGCGTACGCATGCGTCAAACCTTTTTCAAACCACGAGATAGGGCAGAAAAAACGAGGGAGAAAAATGTGAACTTGATCTGACCGGAGCCTACATCAAGCACGCCTTCGTCACCCCCGAACAACCGATCATCGTCCGGGTCGCCCTACGGACTTACAAAGGTGGATGCATGGACCGTTCAACTCATCCTTGCCAGACTTCGCGCTTGAAACGAACTTTTTTATGTATGTACATGCGACGCGCCTCTCGTGCTGTTACTTAAATGTATGTGTTATGCCTAAGTGCAATCTCATAGGTTTGAAAGTGAAAGCCGATTGCTTGGCGACTCATAACGAGTACTGTTGGAAGCAAAACGAATTTTCATCGCTCTTCTTTTCAGTGAAACGTTATTCTTGAAATCAACTTCCATCGCGGCGTGGGCCAAAGATGTGGTGAGTTTAATCTTTTAATCAAAATAAAAGGGTAAGCAGGAATCGCGAAATAAATCTATTGACAATTTTGTCATATCACTTACTTAGATGCTGTAATCCCAATATTTGCTCTTAATTTCTCTCGTCGAGAAAGATGATCTGCACCAAAAAGCACCACAAAGGCAGCACTCGATTCCCTTATGTGATAGTCTTGATTGATTGATCGATCATAACTTTTTGACGATTGAGCTTTTCTTCGTTACAAATTGAATATGAATATCTATATGAGTGTTTGTGACTGCATAATTATGTGGTCATTGTGGTCAACACCAGACACCTGGAGTTGCAAGCCAGGTGATAAACCAGGCTGACATCTCCATGAAATTCATGAAAGATTGTTATCTTTCTAACTAGAAATATTTTTTACAGGGTGGGACTTCCCATGCAAACAGACAACGGACGAGAACACGAAGTTCGTAAGTGATGTTCATATGGCAGACCTTCTTTCGTCTCTGTGACTTCGTGCCTAATGGCACTAACGATATGTTTCATTACTGCCAGTCTTGTTCACTTGACAACAAGCAACACGCGTGGGGAGAGCATGCAGCTTTATTTGCTTTCCAGTGAAGACCGTCGGCCGATAAGGACTACAGCTACCATAAAAGTCCATACGCTAACGAGAAATAAAAATAAAGCGCCAAGAATCATGCACCTTCAGCTGTCAGTGACGACTCAGTTAGTTTTCACACTTTAATTTGGACACAATCACCTCCCCTCTCGGTATAAACGAACTGCCTGACAACAAATTAGAAATCAGAATTGTAATAATTCACTCGATTAGAATATGATAACTAACACGAAAACTTCACACTACTTTATAATTACCGGGCAACATCAATATCATATCGCAAGTCACTACAGTTATCATGAGCCAAGGAGCTCATATTGAAGCATTGCTAACGCAGCTAGGATCACTAAGCCTGCTCGTAAAGCATGTGCTGCCAGTGAGGTTAGCCTGTCACAAATCAACGTTTATAAATCTCTCTTTCGTATAGAAAATTATTGGCCTGGTTGGTTTGCAAAATCTTGCAAAGGAAATGGCAGGGATGGTGCAGAAATAAAGGGCGCTTTTCCCGACTAGTACCCCCTCTTCGAAACCACTTCGTTGGAGAGAAACCTCATTTCGGGATACTAAACAATCACTTTGCTCTGTTTTGTCATGTAATTTGGAGTGTGGCATGTATACGTAACACTTGCGAAGTTTCGTACACGATGAATCCTACAGCTTTGATAACTGACACTCTACTTTTATTTTATACATTTTCTTTTTTCTAGCGTTCCTGCCAAAGTGGTCATATACTTCCAGAGTCTGACGGCGCAAAATATTCGACAGGTGGCTCAATACAGCGTAGGTAAACCACGCTTTTTTTTTCTTTCGCACGACCATATTCGGAACTATCAAGTGTAAACCTTTCGTGGTGTGCCACTTGCAGCGGCCCCGCGCAATAAGGAAAGAGAATAGGTCAAAAGTCGTTTCTGCCTTTACACATGGTTGGCTAAATTGGCTTACTATAGGCCTAGAGTTGCCTAATATACACTATAGAGAACTCTGGCGCTAGTGTCTATGGGAGCTGCATCGCACGGCGCTTCAGCGAGCATGGGAATGATGGGTATAGTACACAAATTTGTCTAATTTTCGTACTTCTGGCCTGCTTCTGGCTCCATGTGTGTTCGTGTGGCTTGGAGCTGTTTTTTCACCAAAACATAAATTAGCAAATGTTCACCGTTTGTGCTTCACAACCTTATTTTTTTTTTTTTTTGCTTACCATTTTGAATCAAGTCACTGAGTTCAAAAGAGTTCGTTCTTTCTTTCAAAACAAAAACGTAACCAGCAATAAACAAAGCCGCAAGTACGATTCGCCACCCGTAAGTACGAAGACTAGGCAAACGTGGGTACTGCCCATCATTCCCATGGTCGCTGAGCGATCGCAGCGCCAGAGTGCCCTCTAGTTAATTTTGAGAAACTCTATGACTATAGGATCTTAAGGCAGCTTGCTATAATTTTACGGAACTAGCGCGATGGTACTTGTCCTCGCAGCCTTCGAACCTGGTGAGCAACATGGGCGGCATACTGGGCATGTACGTGAGCTTTTCGTTCCTGGTGATCTTCGAGATATTCGAAGTGATCGCCCGCTCGGTGCTGTCGGCACTGCGGGTGTGGCGATCGCGCAACCGGCAGCAGGCTCCCGCCAGTGGTGGCACGTGGTGGAAGGCCGAGAAACCACCAGCCGCCGCTATCACAGTTCCAGAAACGTTCTACGCCAGTCGCGGTGTACCCATTTTCCAGAGGCCGTCGCTGTCGCTGTACCAAGGCAGCGGCAACAATCGGTGGCGATGACGAGAAGTGCTCGCGGCGTAAAGCTCTCGACAGCTTGCGCGTGACGCCATAGACACACAACGTGGCTCCTACGTAGCGGCTTATAAATGACGTCAGGGCAGTATAATCAAGTGACGATTGCGCAGTTTCGGCGTGACAACGATGTCGCTGGAACGTTATTGGGCATCTATGCATGAAAAATGAAGGAAGCATATATAATGACTAACGTGACATTACACAGTTCGCGTCCCGCCATGTTTGTGCTACAACGTGGCTGTTTCCGTGACGTCAGTGAAAGCCATCTAAAACCCATAGCGAATCCATCCCGTCGAGTCAGCGGAGGAAACAGGAGCACATCAAGAGCGAGAGAAAGAAGACCGATTGTACCCATTCGCTCTCCTGCATGCCAAATGGTACCTGTACCAAATGCCACATTGTACGACTTAGTCAAAACAATTCTTTTGTGTTTTCCTTTTTTTGTTGTTGATTGGGCAATTCTTTATGCTACTTGTCATTTTTTTTTATTACTGTTACACAAGTAGGTCTATTGATCGGTTTTTAATGCGGTGTGCATAATTTAATAACTTCGGAGAGCGTAAGAGAAACAGCAGGCAGAACTAGCACGGAAAGGAAAAAGAGAAAAAATTAAACGCTGCTACACTTAGCTAAGCTTTATTGCAAGCTGCACACGTTTGTGAATGTGCTGTAGCCTATGGGAAAGAGAATAATAAAAACAGACCACCCAGTGTCTGAGATGAACTAGTCAATGATCCTACGTAAACACGCATGGCGTCGGCATGACCTCTTAACTCGTCAGTCGAGCCGACCTATATTACACCTCCCTTTCTTAGACCCAACACCACTATACCACCTCTACGCATGTGAACATGTACGCCATGCAATAAAATATTAAAAGCAACGAGTGTTCTCGAGCTTTTTTTTTTTTTTGCCTTCCACCTCTCCTGCGATATTTGAACTTATGGGTTCGTAGCAACATCATGGCGAATTACTAGTATCATGGGTTGTTGTGCCACAGACATGTTCCTCGTTCGGGAGCACGTCTCACGAGATCGAGCCCTGTTCCGATGAACTGTCTCCCCCCTTCCAGCGCCGCCTTCCTTGCAGAAGAACCGTGCAGTTCCGGGGATAACGTCACTTCCTCCGCCGAACCACGTTGCAGTTCCGGGTACGGCTTCGTCTCCTCAGCCGAACCACTGTGCCGTTCCGGGGAACTGGTCTCGCAGAAGGGTCCCAAAACGCTATTTAAGGCCGTGCCGGCCCCATGTTAGGAGATTTTGCCCAAGCCGACGTTATCGTGCTGGCCGGCTCTGCACAAACGACAACCTGCTACAGTAAACGCTACTTTTGTTGCTGTTTTCAAAACGGATTGCCTCCCTGTTTCGCCTTCGGGCTAAGGCTTCAGCGAATTCCGCTCGACGGCTTGCCGCTCTTCGCCACCGCTACCATCGCGACAGAGCAAAATTCATAACAGTGGTTGGCAGCTACGGGATACGATATCCCACGTTTGGCACGCCGGATCAGACCCCTGGAAGCTCGAGCACGACCGACCTGATATCAGCGTTTGGATACGCGGGTATACGCTACCCCTGTCCTCAACGTTTTGCTGCTCTGGGACCTGCTACCCCGATCTCAACGGCTGAAAAGTTGGATCGGATCCCTGCAAACCCGAAAACGACCACCGTGATATCGTTTTGCTGCCCTGGGACCCGCTACGCCGACTTCTACGGCTGGAAAGTTAGAGCGGATATTGGCAGGCCCGAGTACACCCACGACACCGCTTGACGGCAACGACCAGATGGCCGAAGTCACCCGCTCTAGTTGGGTGAGTGCCTGACGTTCGTCTTTTGTCGTCAGACCCTGTTAGCACAGAGTAGCCAAGTATGTTCATTTAGATCTTTAGGTGGCTAGTGCTTGGCTGTTTCTTGACTTGCTTCACGTCGAAGAATATAGCTTCTGAGACAAAGCTATTTCAGAAAGGAACGTGCACGAGTTGCGGTACACAATGGAAAAGCTCAGAGTGAGGGACCTTCTCGATGTTTGTGAGCAGCTGGGTGTTTCTGTTGCTAGGACGAGCCGTAAAGGAAATATTCTTGATGTCATGAGAGCGGAAGGAATAACTGAAGAGGAGGTAGAAGAGTCTACGGAGACAATTAAAGAAAAACAGCGGGAGGCTGAAGAGCGTCAAAAACGCGAACGCGAGGAGGCTGAGGAGCGTCAAAAACGCGAACGCGAGGAGGCTGAGGAGCGTCGAAAACGCGAAGGCGAGGAGGCTGAGGAGCGTAAAAGGCGAGAAGAGCGTCAACATGTTCTTAGAATGAAAGAGCTGGAACTTGAGCAACTTCGCATAACATCGGCGCAGTCTAGTTCGCTATCCCTGACAGACGAAATGCCAAGACAGAAAATCCAAGATTTGATTCTGCCGTTTAGGACGGGTAGAGACATCGCGCTTTTTTTAGTGAACTTTGAGCGCACGCGCGAGAAAATTGGGATAAATGAGGGTGTCTGGTCCCAGAAGCTTCTGTCAGTCATTCCGGGAAAGGCCGCGGAAGTAATCGCACGGTTGTCTAAAGAAGACTCTGCATGACGACTAAGCTAAGGTCAAAGCGGCCCTCCTTCGTAAATACCGCTTGTCTGCCGAGGCATTTCGGCAGCAATTTCGGCAAGCAAAAAGGGGCAGTGAATCATGCACAGAGTTCGTGTACCAGCTAAGTCTAATTTGAAAGAATGGCTTAGAAGTGCGGATGCTTACGGTAACCACGACAGGGTGATTGATTGTGTGGCCCTCGAGCAATTCTATCATGTGTTGCCTGAAGATGCCAGACTCTGGCTTCAGGACAGAATGAAGGGAACAGACATTGACAATGCTGCTGAGCTAGCTGATGAGTATTATACGCGAAGGAATTTTCAGTTAGATCGCGAGGATACAAAAGAGAAGAGGGACTCCTCAAGGCTGCTTGCTGCTCAAAATGCAGCACAAAAGATGGCTCCGCCGCGTGACGAATTCAGTCAGGGAGCGACTAACAATGAGAGGGAAAGGAGAAAGCCAGGAGAGGCACCTGAGTCGACAGCAAGTGCGAGGGAACGCGTCGACACCGCTCGAGCTTTTGAATCAAAACGACCAATTGTATGCTACAATTGTAAAAAAGAGGGTCATATCTCATCTAGCTGTAAGCAAAAGTTTGTTTTCGCTGGCATTCGCGAGTCGGACGAGAACTTGAAGTTACTCGAGCCTTACATACGCGAAATTGTGGTCAACGGAAAGAGATGCCGGGCACTCCGTGATTCAGCTGCGACGATGGACATAGCACACTCATCTTGCATCTCCCCTGGCGACTATACTGGCGAATGCGCCTGGATCAGACAGGTTGCAGAAGAGCAAAGTGCCTGTTTGCCAATTGCTGCGGTTGTTCTAAAGGGAAGTTTTGGAAAATTGCGCACTGAGGCGGCCGTGAGCCCTAATTTGCCCCAAGATTTTCCGTACCCTTTTTCCAACAAATCAGAGCAGCTCCTTAAAGAAAAGGGCCAGTCATTTTCATCTCCCCTCGCGTGCATGGCACTCACGCGATCGCGGTCCCGCGCTCTCGCGGGGATACTTGAGGTCTCCGTTTCGAACGAGGAGGCGGTTGACCGTGAGACAACTCCCCAGGGAGACTCGGGCCAAGAGGCGACTAGTGTATCACAGGACATCGAAGACAGTAGGGCTCCGGATACGATATTGGCTGCCGAACGCGACGAGCCTGCGGAGGTGGATGAAAGCAGGGCGCTTCAGGAGAACGTTCAGTCGTCCCTGCTTGGTCCAACATCCACTTGATGGGAAGAGCTCAGTAAAGTAGACAGAAACACACTCGTCACTGCACAGGCAAGTGATGATACCATTAAGAATCTGCAGCGTAACGGGAAAGATGGAGTAGCCCGAAAGAACATCTCATTCTACACGAAGGCAGGGCTCATGTATCGAAAGTATCGGGACGCTGAGGGTAGAAAGTTCGACCAGCTTCTAGTGCCAGAGAAGTACCGACGACAGTTTTTAGAACTGGCGCACGGAAATGCCTGGGCGGGCCGCCTTGGCATCAAGAAAACAAAGGCGAGGCTCGCACAGGATTTCTATTGGCCTGGATGCTGGAAAGATGTAGAAAACTTCGTGCGATCATGCGACACGTGTCAGAGAGTAAGAAAATCTACTGACAAACGGAAGTCCCCGATGAGATTAGTGCCTGTTATCGCAGAGCCGTTCCGGAGGCTCGTAATTGATATTGTTGGCCCCCTTCCAGAGTCCCGTTCCGGTTGCCGTACATTTTAACTGTTTTGTGCGTGGGAACGAAATTTCCCGAAGCGGTTCCGCTAAAAGAGCTCACCTCTCCCTGCATTGTGGACGCACTTTTGTCCATTTTTGCTCGCGTAGGCTTTCCAGCCGAGATTTAGAGTAACAATGGGAGCGTATTTACCAGTTGTCTCACAACAGCGTTTTTTGAACGCTGTGGAATAAAAATAATCCACAGCTTTATAGGACATCCACAGTCTAACCCCGTGGAGAGGATGCATGCTGTACTCAAGCGAGTTCTGAGAGCTCTTTGCTTTGAACATAACAAAGATTGGGAGGCATGCATACCCGCGGCACTGTTCGCCATACGGTCCGCTCTCCACGAGACAACGGGATTCAGTCCCGCCGAGCTTGTCTATGGAAGAAACTTAAAATCTCTATTTCGGCTATTGAGAGACTCGTGGGAAGGATATGAAGAAGACCCACGCGTAGTCAGCTACGTTCTAGATCTGTTGGAAAGACTATCTAAAACCAGAGAGCTAGTTGAGGAAAACATGAAGGCGGCTCAGAGTTTAGCGAAGACTTACTACGATAACTTGTCCCGGAAGCGCAAGTTCAACATCGGCGACCAGGTAATGCTGCACGACAAAGTAAAAAGAACAAAATGGACATGAAGTGGGAAGGGCCAGCTAAAGTAATGTCCAAGCTTTCAGATACAAACTACGAGGTAAAACTGGGCCGAAAGAAAGGTAAGGTTTACCACAGTAATTTAATGAAGCCTTACATCCAGCGCCATGCCGTGGTC